ACCTCCCAGAGTCAAGTCTGCTTAGTGGTGGAAGAATATGAGACCATTACTGAGGGAAAACTGTTAAAAACTGGAGAAGGAATTGGTGGAAATGGAATGGGAATATTCCGGAAGAGAAAATGACTGGCTAGAATAGTGAGCAGGAATATTTTTAGTCTGCAAATATCCATTTATTCTTTTTTAAAATGTTAATCTAAATCTACCACTCCATCAATAAAAACATTTCTTCTTGACCTGCCTCAACATAGAGGTTGAAGTATTCCTTCTTTTCTTTTTGAATTCTTTGAAATATTTGAAGACAACCAGTGTGTGCTCAATCCCAATCCTTCTGTTCTCTACAGGAAAATGCACACATACTTTGCCACACACTGTTCTATTAATCTTTTCCTGTATGAATTGCCTTCAAAAACATCAGCAAAATACATCTTTGCAGCTCTCCTCTATAACTTTTCATAGTTTGGCAAAATCTTTCCTGGATTGGAATGACTGTAAAAGGCATAGTGTTTAAAGGAACTAATCCTGTTTTTATATATTCCTGCAAAGGTTATTCAGAACAGCCGTCTACCTGTTCCATAAAATAAGTCAAAAGAAGGGAACATTTTAATGCTATCAGCTATAATCACCAACAGATCATCATGATGGATGTGTGCTGATTTATTTCTTAGAATAAACCAGTCAGATTAGAATCTAATTTAGTTAAATTGGTTTTTGATTATAAATGATCTTAGAAATAAATTAGAAAGGGTATATAGACTAGAGGGGCTAATCTTACAGCCATTCCTAATTCTGGATGAGCAGTTTTTCTTTTTCTTCCCTTTTCCCCCACTTCCAGTATGGCTTGAGTTAAAATTAACAGCCAGTTTGTACAGCGATGTTTGGAGACAAACAGTGCAGTCAGATGTTGAGAAAGGTGCACGCTGGGAAGGGTCACTTTTGCTGCATGTGATCTCCCTTAAAGTGATCCTTCTTCTGTGCAGGAATCACTCCAACCCAGCCAAAACACCAGTAGCCTTGCTGCTGGACCAAAATGGTCCAGTGTGGGCATTGATCCCAATTGGGTTGTGTGATTGTTGGGAAATAGTTCACTCTGGCTGTGCCGCAGATGGTCCAAAATGCAAACCATTTCCCCATCTGATAGCACTCACCGGTTGCTTGTCCTTCCTAGACTGGATTTCTTTGGAGAAGCTGACCAGAAAACATAGCTTCTGTTCCTGGAGCCTTTTAGAATACTGTCCTCAAAATGGGCTTAATGTTACACCTATGTAACAGAATTCGTCAGATTTGAGGGGAGGGCGGTCTACCTGCTTCTGGAACCCAGATTCATAATGCCTGAAGGACAGATTTATGGACTGGGCATATGTCAGCGTGATGTGGACTAATGGCCCTTCATGTCTCATGTATCTTCTGCAACCCTGTTCGTAGTTCCCTCTGAGTAAGTCTTATTGAACACATTGAGACTTCAGTTTGAGTAAACATAGATAAGATTTTACTGCGCAAACAGTAAAGCACACAGTAGCCCTCACATAGCAGCTACAGATATGTGTCATGTATGAACGCTTTTCATTTTAATGGTTTACTGGTGACAGCTTTTAGCTAGAGGAGTCACTGAGTGTCACATCTATGAGCAATATGTTTGCTTCCAATACTATAAGGTGTGAAAACCATCCTTAAGCCACTGAGACGATGCAACAGGAAACCATGACCCAGTTAGGGTTTCCAGGCATGAGTACAAAAGTCTTCAAGGGTACACATATGAGCCTGCTGCAGGAGACAGTCTTGAATCCTGGCCAGCATAAGGATCTCTTAAAAGTGCCGTGTCAGCCTTGGGGAATCCATCTCAATAGCCATTGAGAGGTTATTGGTGTTTCAGGAGAAATGCTGTGGGGAAAGAAAAGCAGGCAGAATGTTGCATTACCTCTGCTTAGCTCATCTGTATTCCATCCTGATGTGGCAGCTTGCGCTACAGAAAAGAGAACCTGCTGCAGCTTGAGGAGTACAGATGAAAGAAAAGCTGTGAAGTGAAAATCATGTACCTTCTCAAATGTAGGGAGGAAAAAAAAAGAAAGGGCGTGATTTAGGAAGGCAGTTTCTTTTTTAACCACTGATTTATTCTGTATCTCTTAGGCAAAATTATTTTGGTTAGCCTGCCATACACAAAAGAGCTTATTTCCACAAGCACATTGATGAATGTTAGCGTGTTTTCTGTCAAGATGAACTTAATTTCCCAACTGTTTCCCCTTTTGTTATGGAAATATATGTTAAACAAGATGACTAAAAGTGGCATGTTCTGCAAGGAGTTGGGATTTTAGTATTTACAGGGGGGCAAGCATCTATTATGCACAGATCCATGTACAGTGGGGTCTCCACTTAAGAACTTAATCCGTATTGGAAGGTGGTTCTCAAGTTGAAAAGTTCTTATGTTGAATATGCATTTCCCATAGGAATGCATTGAAAACCATTTAATCTGTATCCGCTCTTTTCCGTCCATAGAAACTACAGTGGAACCTCTACTTAAGAACTTAATCCATTTTGGAATGGTGTTCTTAAGTTGAAACGTTCTTAAGTTGAAGCAAAATTTCCCATAGGAATGGACTGAAAACCAATTAATCCGTTCTGGCTGTTTTTTTTTGTTATGTAGAGGTGTGTTCGTACATTGAAGCATTAGTTCCCATAGGAACTAATGCAAAGCTGGTTAATACGTACTCTACCACTAGGGGGAGAATTTTTTTTAACCTAAGATGACCTAAGGTTAAAAAAAGAGCAGGAAAGGTTTTTTTTCTTATGGAAATATATGTTAAACAAGATGACTAAAAGTGGCATGTTCTGCAAGGAGTTGGGATTTTAGTATTTACAGGGGGCAAGCATCTATTATGCACAGATTCATGTACATAGATAATAGCAGTTTACAGTAGCCATGCAAAGAACACAACAGCATTGAAGAGTCTGCAGTTGCGGAACAGTTGCCGATCCACATAGCAAGTTGTGCCAGATTGTCATGATGTCATTGACAAACTGATTAATTGATGGTGTGTTGTCAAGTCAATTCCAACTTACCGCACTACGTGCCAGGGTTTCCTAGGTATAAAGACTTCAAATTGGTTCACCTTTCCCTTCTTCTGAGGTGGGGTATCTTGGGACTGAGCAGCTTGCCCAAGCCTGCTCTTCTCCCAGGAGGCACTGTGGGGAATGAGACTTCCAACCTTTGGCTCTGCAGCCAGATACCCAACCCACTGAGCTGTCTATTTCAAGTACCACAAAAAAATATTTAACAGCCATTTTTGGTAGGGGACACGTTTGGGAAAGACGCAGGCACAAGACACAAAGACTACATTCTTAAACACTCCTACTTGAGAGTAAGTTCCATTGAACTAAAGGGGACCTTTGGCATGTGCGTATATAGGACTACACTGCCAGACACTAAACAGCTGCCTGGTGCAACCAGTATATAGATACAGGTCCTAGCAGCAAATTGTGAGTGGCGCTAAATCATACACTTATGAGACTTGGACTGAAATTCTAGTTTAGTCTTGGTCATGTTTTGAGTAGACCATTTTGGCTTTTGGATCACAGTTTTTTTTAAAAAAAGCTGAATGTTTTAGGATAGAAATAGCTAACATGGAGTACAGCGAGGGGGTGGGGTGTGACTCTTAAGCTGGTAGAATCCAGGTTCCATCCTCCCTAGTTGGCACAGCTGAAGGTGAAGGATCATGGAAATTGCAGTCTAACTTCTGGAAGGCCACATCCCTCCTGTATACCCATCCCTCCTGTATACCTATGTTTGATTCATCCTACTCTCATCTTTGGTCAAATAAACTTTGGAGGATTTGTGAACACCACAAAAATCTGCAAAACCTATTTATTTGAAATGATTTTATACCACTTTTAAAACTCCAGAGTGGACTATAGCTCACCTCTAGCCTTTGTCTTAGTTCCCTTCATATTAAATACATTTTTAACGTATTTAAATGTTTTTTTCATGGTAATTACCTTTAATTCTAGCAGGAGAAAAAGTGTTGAATAACACCACTATCCCTTTTTCAGCATCATGACTAGAAGTGATAGAGTGACATCAGGAATGCAATTTTCAGAATTCTGCCGTTTTATTTGTATTGTTGCATTGAATGAACGCATCTTACATGACAGTGGAGGAAGTCCCAGTTTAATGGAAGGTTAAAGTTAGGTTTTAATGGGACCCTACATCCCAGTTTAATGAAAGGTTATGCATAACCAACCCATGAGTTTCATTTAAAAGTGCTCCAGGGTTGGACAAGAGGTTGCAACTTGCTTGGAGTATAGGCAGAACAATGTTTTCTGATTAAGTACTGAAGGGCTTCAGTTTCTTTTCTCTTCAAACAGTAAGGTTCATTAACATTAATTGCCCGTAGTGAATGGGATAATCCAAGTGGCAGAAAAGGCAAACTAGTTTTATCCAATATTACTCAATGTGCTGATGTTCCACAGAATTAAAGGTGGTTGTATCATTTTCCAAGTTATTGTCTGTGCCCTCTGTTAGTTTATTCAGAAAAAAAAATCAAGAAAACTCTGTCATTAAAAGAGAGGTGGACATGCAGAGACAACACCAACTGCTTCTGCTCTGGCTAGATTATCTCTTTTTTCAACTACAAAGTCATCCACCGCCGCAAGCCCTGAGAGAAAGAATAGGAAGGGATGCAGGTGAACATAATTGTAGTTTTTGGTTGCTATAGGTTCTTCCACTAATGGGCCATAGATGTGTCCTTACCTACAAAGCCCTTCACAGTTTTACAAATGGATTCAGTCTTTGGTGCGCCAGTCTAAAAATATGATATGAATCTGTTGAATTCAAAAAAATATCAGGGATTAACTGTGTATATTTTCATTTTAAAGAAATTATTGCACTCAAAGAAAAAGTTTGAGCAGGTGTAACACTTGTCCTGCTTTCATTATGAACTGAATGTAAACTGTTGTTGTTTTTTCCCATTAATACCCCTAATCTGTTTTTCTTTTTCTTTTGGTCATAGATGTATATCACCAACACAATAAAAGCCAGAGGAACAAGGCTGGCAAAACCAGTTCTCTGCTTGAGCTTAATGTGCATGGCGTTCCTTACAGGTATCAACAGAGTAGCAGAATATCGAAATCATTGGTCAGACGTGATAGCAGGATTTCTAGTTGGTATTTCTATAGCAGTGTTTTTGGTAAGTAAGCTCCATCTTTTCATGATATCTGGGTTTGCCTGGAAATAGGATTCTTGTTTCTTTAGTTCATCAAAATGAAGGAAATTTATTTGGAATATTGTAAATGCAGAAGCAGGCAGAGGGGATGCAGACTGCTTGGTTATCCCTCGCTTGAAGAGATGAGACATAAATTCCAAGAAGCGACTTGATGCTACCTGAGAAGGAGTTTCCACCCACCCCCAAAAACTGTTTGTGTGCTGCTCAAAAATGCTTCCCGGGCATGAACAACAACTGTTCCAAGAAACCTTTGGAAACTGTGTGAGGAAGATGGGATATGTTACTTTTATTGATTGATTGATTGATTGATTGATTGATTGATTGATTGATTTGATTTATTTGATTTATGTGATTTATTTGATTTATATCCCGCCCATCTGGTATAATTATACCACTCTGAGCGGCTGACAACAGAACAAATACAATTAAAACAAGATGAATCCATGAACATCCATTATTAACAAACATACTGAAAATAATAAATGATAGATAAGAAAAAGAAAAAGTTAAATTAAATAAATTAAATTAACTTAAATGCTGGCAGGAGGGAAGGCCTGGACATAAAGCCATGTTTTTAG